CACACATACACACACACACACACACACACACACACACACACACAAACATAATACTGTGTGATATGTGATTAATTAATAGATAATGCATAACAAAGAGTGGGCGTCTGCTTGGGTAATAAAAGTTAGTTGTAAATCCCACAATGCTATATAAATGCGATTATTTACAGTCAAAAATGCTCTAACGGACATATCAGTCTAAGACAATCACCTGTACAACAAACAACTCTCACATTCACCCTTGTGCCCCCCCCCCCTATTATTATAATGACATTGTCTAGTATGTCCACCTGTCAGTCTAAGTCTAAGAGCAACCACTTTCCTCCTAAACAGCTGGTGGCTGTTTGCTAAAACAGCACCAAGACATGGACGGCGGGGGCTTCCAAATGAATCATTGATGTTTTGTTGTTTTGTTTTTTTGGGGTAAGTGTTTTACGGCACTCCCAACTGCAAGGTCACATGAGCGCTTGGGACACATTAAACATTTTCAGTTTGTAGGACATTTTGAATTTTGCCCAGGTAGCGGCCGAAGCCTACTCTTATCGATGTTGGACCACTAAGGGATCTTTAACGTGCGCAACTTGCACACAGTAGCTCTGAGATTTCTCACACTTATCCGAGAAGGCTAAATGTAGATCTTACCTATCACATGATCAGGGGTGTGGCTGAAAGACAGCAGTAAGAGGGAGCCAAAGAGTAGCAGTAGAAAGGCTACAGAAAGAGACAGAAGCCTAGTGGAGGGGGCAAAGGAGGTAAGGGGGTGTGGGCAGAAAGTGTAATTGATGATCTAACACTGTCCTAGATGTCCAACTGTCTATAGAATTACTTTTCTTCTCAACAACGGGTGGCCGAAGTCTAAAACAAACGCAGACATGGCTGGTGCCTCTATAAATAAATATTAGTGATGATGAAAGGGTGGACATATTAACCCTATCCTTACGTCGTGTTTTTCAATCGTATCCACACGACAGGGGGAACTCTGTGCCCCCACTTTAAAAAGAGGAATTTTACTCCGATCCGTACGCTTTGCATAGCAGTCTGTCAAAATGATTTTTTTTAAAAGAAACACTGAAAGTTTCAAAGAGATCTTCGCACTAGAAGTATTCTAAAATGTGAAGAATACAATCCCTGGGGTACAAAATGACCCCAGACGCACGGATAGGATTAAACAATTCCGAACAAATTACCATTCCACCAACACTCATCTGGTGTGTGTGTGTGTGTGTTCCGCTCCTCCCCAGAGTACGGGTCAAGGAGTGTGACGGCCTTAGGTGGTGCTGGGACAAGCACCCGGTGTCCGTCATCAAACTGACCAACAACGTGTACACCGAGCTACCCATCAACCTCTACGAATAGAGCCAGTTTAATTCATTTCTAGGTCCGAACCCTGGCAATTGTGAAACACACTAGCGGGGTCCCAACCCTTCTCCCTCCC